CTCAAAAAAAACAGGGCGAGCTGCCGTGTTTCGGTGCGCACGACTTTGGTGGGACTACCCCCTGTGCTGCCCAGCACTGAATAAACATACCTACTTTACAATCTTACAGATTGTGGAGTCTGTTTTCCGCACATCAGTTTTGGTCTTCAAAACATTATCAGCAGTGAATTTTCATCAAAAAGCTGCTAATCTGTTCTCACTGACAGAACATAATCTGCAAGGTAACATGAATCATTGCTTCCTCTAACCAGTTCTATGGTTTCCAAGCTTTCTGCTGCTCCCTTTTTTGGCTTTATTTCTCATACCAATCAGTATTTTCCTTCTTCCTAAGGACCTTTGCAATGGTAACAAATTTTCTGATTCTATTAGCAGAAATAACTTTAACAGCTAAGAATTTGTAATCTCTAATAAAACCCACCAAAACATAACAAAAAGGGAAAGACATAACATTTTAAAGACCAGCTAAAAGCTAATTTTCCATTTGCAGCAAAACAGAGAAACCTGTAAAGATATAGACACTGTACCACTACCTTTCTGGATAATGATTATTTACTGACTGGACTGGACTTTTGATATCAACATATCCTACCTTTTGAAAAGATTCAAGGAATAATTTCAGAGAACTTCACAGACCAAGCCTCACAACTCTCTGAAGGATGCTGGCCTCTTTTTCTATTTTTTAAGATGTATATTTGTAAAAGTTGGGGGGGAAAAAACCCACAGCTTTTTTTGGGGACTACATAAGAACCTTAATAACATTCTTTATTCTCAGAATTTTCCGCAAGTATCATAACGTAGAACTTAGTGGTGCCTTATTTCAACCCAAGCCCCTGCAACATCAACTCAGATAACATTTAAAATTTTATTCTTTTCTAGGAAGGCAGGCTTTTTTTGGGGACTACATAAGAACCTTAATAGCATTCTTTATTCTCAGAATTTTCCGCGAGTATCATAATGTAGAACTTAGTGGTGCCTTATTTCAACCCAAGTCCCTGCAACATCAACTCAGATAACATTTAAAATTTTATTCTTTTCTAGGAAGGCAGCTTAGCACATTTTTTTGGTATCAGAAGAACACTATTATTCTTAATACAGAGATCTCTGCCTTAGTGAACTAGAATGATTTTACTGGAAAATCTGCACTCCCATGACACAAAAGACCTTAAGCTTTTAAAGTCATAGTTGTGGGTTGTAGGGTTTTCTTAAAGCGGCAACATTATTAAAGTTTATTAGCAACATTATTCAACATAACAACATGGTTCTAAGTAATTTTCTTCTTATATTAATGGGAGAATACCAGTCTGCTCCTGATAAAGCCTCACTTTTTTTTTTTCAAATATTCTGCATCAAATCCCTGATTATCAACAGACATAGCATGACGAAAACTATTTTGGAAGTACTTGCCAATGAGAACAACAAAAAGGCACGAATATGTCATTGCTTCAGTTATCAAAAATATGTTCAAAATATTGACAGGCTACATGTCCTGAAAGACCTGTGACTACACTGGAGATCTTAAACGCTTCCAAATATCCCACTTTCCAAATATATTACAGTTTTTGCAGGTCTGCTTAGCTACTACAGCTTTATGTGCTGAATATGCCTTAACAGTACATTTCTGTAAGTCACAACAAGCAACTCAGCTGGATAATCTCCCAAATGTGATGTAGGTCTAAACCCCACAGTTTCAGTTCAATCCTAAGCAGGCATTCAGAGATGCTTCTTTTAACCTAATACTAAGTTAGCAGCCTGCTAAGTAACAACATTAATTCAAAAGAGATTATGACCTACCAGAATACTTATATTCAGTTCTGAATATTTTTTTCCAGTATGTTGAAGTCAAGTATGGCTTTCCACACAAAATGTATTTTAACACCACACTCAGCATCCAACAACCTATGAACAATTTGTTTCACTATCTTTAGAGGCAACCCCCACCAAGTACTGAGTCTAGTTCAAATCCAGACACACATGAAAGAGCTTTATCACTAACATACAAATTTTAAGGAGGGGAGGAAGAAGAAAACTGCTTTCTAAAAACTGCAATGACAAGAAGGTTATGGAGCAAAAAGCACTATTTTAATAAAGCTATTACAAGCATTGATTCTACTTCTCTTTAGCCTTCTTGTATGCAAATATTTGCATTGTACTTACCCATACCATAAGAAGCCTTCTCTGAGGTATTGGAGCACTTTAATTATATAACCAAAACTAATTATCATTTCTGAAAAAAAACACCAATTCCCCAAACGAACACAAGAACTCAGCCCCTACCTGAACACACACACGTGCACACACACAAAGTCATGTATTACCATAGGGTATTCCAAGGCGCTCCTGCTCCTTTCGGTAGCCTTCCAACGCTGCAGCCCATCGTGTCACTTGTTCAGAGGTTTCATCCGAAATTGTTGTAATATGTTTTGTTCCATCCAAGGTTATCACTTGAGCTTCCTCAACAAGGTGAGCTTCAGCCTCTGCATGATGAGCATCTGGATCAATCACTACCTCCACAGTCTCCACAGGCTTCACAATTTCAAGGATGTTTAACTTGGGCTCTATCCCTAGGTATAGAAAGAACAAACACAAAACTCAAAGATAGCAATGCAAATATGACAAAAATGTTGTTCTAAATCTTTCTGATTAATAGGTGTTAGCATACCTAGGAAAGAAGCATGACACAAAGCATCATCAAATTTCTGCAAGTGTGCTAAATTAGAATGACATATTCTATTATACAGTATATACTTTAGTAAGGTGAGTACAAAGCTGTCCCTCTTCCTCCCCCAGTATTACAGCTTCCTGTTCTATTTAGGTGACCCATTTCATATATTTTGAACAGAATGTTCAGCATGTGGGCATAAAGAAAAGTATTTTGGTCTGTAAGAAATATACCAAACCAAAGGAAAAAAAAAAAGCAAACCACAAAAAAACAGAACAAGCATCCACCTCTTCCGCCCAGCCAAGCGGCATTTCTTTCAGCCTGAATATTTCCCTGATATCTCTGGAGTCTACACACAGGAGTTAACATTTTCTTTCAGCACCCTGCAAGAGGCAGCGTGTTCAACAGCAAGTTAAAAAGAAAACTAGAAAATTCTTCACGTTTTAAGCTTCATCAGCTATTCATGTTTTGGTTTTATGCCTGTCACTTAAGATATTAGACCACAGAGTTGGAAGATATGTCTGCATCTATTCTGCAGCAATAAAGAACGCATTCACTAATGTTACTAATGCTTTGTATCACCACCTTCTCTGTCATCTTCTGAGAAGGTATTTTGTCCAACTGGTCCTTCAACAAATTTCTGACATTGTATAGAACATTTTTCTTGTCATTGTAATAGGCTAAACAGAAAAAAATTCTTTCAATTTTTGTGATATGTAATTTCCAACATAATAGCAACTAACAACCACAATTCTTGAAGAGATTTTTATCAAACATATTTGCACATAAAAAAAAAAAATCTGTAAAATTCCATTTTATTATGACTTGGAAAGTCTTGACAAGGGTTAGGCAGCTGAATAGTAGGATTCACAGAACATCATGTGGCCAGAATAACTTCACTATCTTGTGCCGTAAGGTATTACTTTGTGTCCCTCCTGTTTTATCTATATTAAATCTCAATGTGAGATGGTAGGTTCTGTAGGTGACAGTCTTAAAAGCTAAAACTGCAATCCATTCACAGTTTATAAGGGAAAACAAACTGAGTACTCACCTATAGTACAAGAATAAACCAAGTCTTTTTCAGACAAGTATTCCTCTAGACTTTAAAAAGGAATTCAGCTTGAGAAAAATACTAGAAAGGGAACACTACAAAGACTTTAAGTACCACATGCAGCAATATGAAATTAAGGAAGTGAAAATAGATGCAGGCAACCAGTAGGTGGTTGATTAGATGAAGAAGAAAACATGAAGAAAAAGCAAACAAGTACCTTACTTAGGAGAGTGTTTTATCTAGGCCATCTAAGATTAACATGCACAGCACAGCATTTTTTTAACGTTAGCTAGAAATGGCTAAGGGAAAACATTAAGGGTTAAGATTCTCTTTTTGATCTTCAAAAAAGAAAGCAAAGAAAAAAGCTTCTGGAGATGAACAGTTCACTATTGCTCAACAAAATAATTCACTGTCTGTCAAATAACTACGTGTCAAAAGAACTGTGAATCTACTGCTTTATCCATAGTGCAAACACTGAGATCAAAGTGATGAGTCTCTGTAGAGGAATCAGCTTATAAGTAAAAATGTTGTGAAGTAACAGTCTGCCACCTAACCTACTGCAACGTTAGATCAACATTAATTCACTGGGTTTGTCTGCATCTCTTCTCACATCTCTCCCTCTACCTACTGTGTAAGAAAACAGATGCCCAGTCTTCCTTGGACAGCACATAAATTGTGGAACACTATGTGACATCACACACCCCAGAAGTATAAACTGGTACAAAAAGTACAAAAATTCAAGGACATTAGCTATCGAGACATGTCCAGATGTTGCCAGTACAAGCCCCTTCACTGCTAACTGTCTGAAGCTAGAGAATCTACTAGGGCTAAGACTGAGCTATAGGCAACCTGTTTTGTTTTGGTGGTTTTTTTCCTTGAAATGTCTAGTATTAACTACAGCCAGAGACAGGACATTAGTCAAACAGCACCTTTAATCTAAATATATTTCATTACACTTATGAATTGTTTCTTTACATACTAATAATAAAAGCCTAGTAATGGCAAAAACCAACTTAGAAACCGCAGTCAAAGGAGGAGTTACACACTTAAAACAGGAACTCAGATACCTAAATCCAAAGAATCTGTCTGTTGTGCTTAAGCACCACTTAGTGTCAATATCTGTGTAAGTGTCTATAGTACAGCTACACACACATGCTCAGAAATTCTCAAAGCAGCTAGATACTAACCTCTTATGTCAGTCAAGCATTTAAAAAGTAGGTGGAACAGAATCTGATTGGGAAATGTTAATCTTGCAGGTGTGCTTTGGGTGTGCATAACAGACAGAACTGAGCTCAACCCAAACAGCAGCTACAAGACACTTTCATTCACATACACGGCCTTGACTCATTTAAGTTTGTGTATGGGGTACGCGAACGACTTGAATGTCAGGTTAACTGGACTACCTCTTCGTATACTTTGCAAACAACATTGTCCACCTCCATAATACAGGTCTCTCTCCTCCTATTGCTCAAACCAATGACTGTCAGAGATTGCTGCCCTCATTCTAGCCCTCACAATCTAGTATCTCCGTCTCCCATACTTCATCTGAAAAAAGTGTGGCAAATACTTCCATTTAAGCTTGCCTCTATTCTGTTGATTAAGGAAGTAGAAAAAGCAAGAAAAGATTCCTTGGTGTGGCAGACTGCCAGCCAGGTCTTCCACCTCTGGGTTTTCAAAAAAAAGATTTCAACCTATGCCATACACTCAGCACTGGAATTTACAACCTGAAAAGTTTATCTTCCCTCCCCCTCTACCTCTTCCCAGAAAAAAAAGTAAGCAAGCAACTAAAAATAGGGTCAGCATTCATTTTATCATATCTCAAGAAAAAAAAAATATCAATGACCTATCAACCGTAACAGCTTAAGGATGGCAAAATGTTAATCTGATATTATCTACAGTCAGGCAGGGGAAAGTTTTGATCAGATATCACTTGTGTCTGGATTAAGGAAAAAAAAAACAAAAACCCACACACCAAAATATTTGCTATGGAGATCTTAAAAATTAAAGCTTTTTTCAAATTATTTGACATATGATGCAACGCAGTTACTCAGATCTCCACAGACTTGCAAGAGGCTTAGTTCAGACCAGTACAGAACAGGGCTGCACTCAAAATTGCTGTTCTCACAATGGCAGGAAAACCACATACATCTCCATTCTTCAAGGAGTTAAGGCAAGGTGGAGTAACAGAATGGTCTTTCTACTAAAAAGAATAAAGAGCACTGATATTTTATCTGCTGTAACTTATATTAAGATATCTTTGTATGAAATGCTCTAACAGAACTACTATGGACTGTATTTCAGCTGGTGTTTATTCCTTTGAATTTACAGATGGCTAATCAAAATTTGATAGAACACTTGAACTGATGTAACAGCTTTCCTCTTATGAAATAAGAGTCCAATCCGTCGCAAGGATTAGCATCACTGATTACTGCTAGCTGAATTCTATATATTACATAAGTTGGGAAAAAATAAAAATAAGTAAATTGAGAATCTTTCAATACCTCATCCATAAAAGAAAAATATGTGGATGGCATAAGAAGCTGTTTTTTCCCCTCTGGCTCACAGGGACACTGCAGTCAGAGTAACAAGTCCATTTCCCTGTTAGTGATGCAAATACCTTCCTTTTATTATTTATATCCATGCTGTTTGTTTTCTGATATTCTGTCCTGCCATATTTTATTTGCCTTCAACAGACAGATTTCTTATGAGTTGCTTAAGTGTCACATATCATGGCCTGAAAAACAACACTGAGGATCGTTCTGAAGTTATACAAAAGTACTTAATACTTGGGTGTTTCTTTTAAGAAGGGGGGGAGGCACCACCTTGTGTTATATGGTCATGCACCTCCATTTTCAACACGGAGAAAAAAAAAAAAAAAAAAGAAAACCAAAAAACCAACCACAGGAAGAAAATAGAAGATAATAAGGAAGATATTTATCACCTGCATCCTTTTGAAAACGGAATTCTGAGCACTGCATACACCAAGTTACTGGGCATGAATTGAGAGCAGTTATTCTAGTTCCCTGAAGGATATTTCTACTCTTATTTTTAAAACCAGAAAGCTAGTTCAATCTCCATTATACGCGGGGAACTGAGGATTCAACCGAGCACTAGTCACCTGACACTCAGCATATTAAATGTAACTTATCAGTCTTAATACTGTTAATACAAAACAGAAAGGCTTTCTTCTGCCTAATCTACACTGAAGCCACAAGAAAACAGAACGTGCTGCCCAAATTTTGCTAATCTGCTTTGCTGACATAACTCAAAGCAGATAATCAAAGATACCCTACTCCAATACAAGCTTGTTGTCACGGTTTGCTTGAAAATACGGCACAAACATCTGTAGCTGTTCCCAGAGACCAATATGAATGTTGATTTCATTGAGTGGTGGCAGTCCTACCACTCAAGACGTGTGGAGGGGGCAAAGGACAACAATAGGACACAAATTCAAACAATGAAGCTACTAATTCCTGAGGATCCAACAAGGGCAAATCCTGTCATACCTGATACTACAAGCAAATAAAAACTATGCATCAGCAAATCCCTACCCACCTGGTTAATACTCCTCCATGACAACGGTTTACTCTGACTTCTCATCCAAAGAAAGCAGATGACAGATAGTGATCTCAGCCTTTCATTCCAATTTTCAGTTAGCTATGTATACTCTCATAATCTAATTGTTCATGGAGCACACAAGCTCACTTACCTCACAAAGACTGTCATCTACCTAGACAAAAATATTTTTCCTGCTTAGATACTTGGTCTGGTATGAGTAACTACTCACCCTTAATGAAAGCCTCATATTGCAAATGTCACTATTTGACCCTGGTTTGTTTGGGTTTTGGGTTGGTCCCCTGTCCCCATCCCCATCCTT